AGGAGGAGGAGGAGGAGGAGGAGGAGGAGCAGCAGCAGCAGCCCGTTCGCTTGGCCCCACGTAAGCGGGCAGCGGCCACTCGGCGCAGCCTGGCAAACGACCCTCTTGACGCAGACTATGAGCCCTCAACCTCGCGTAGCAAGCAGAAGCGTCGCTGAAGTTCAGCTGGTGGCGGCAATCACATCCCCTTTCCGTTGCACTGGTGTGCTGACCGCCTTGTGACCGAGCGCGTGTTGTCAGCATGAAGCCTTGCATACCTCAAACGTTGGCACGCTCTGACCGACACTGTTGCGACCCTGCCGTTGCTCGGAATCGCAGCTCAGGCAAGCATCAGGTCGGTCGACCGAGGCTCAGCTTCAACGATCAAATTGGAAGATGCTATTGCTTGACGCCCATCTTGCCGAGGTTTGCTGTTTCCTACCGCGTGCTTTGCGCTGTGCCCAGTTCCTTTTGAGTGCTGCGGCAACTCGGGGCTGCATCGCAAGCTTTGACGTAAGTCTGTGCGCCGTCATTGCTTTTTCTGAAAGTGATCGCCATGCGCTCGTTGGGATCGCACTTGCTGGAACCGGGGGTGTGGACGTGTGCGATATTTGACTCCTAGAGGAAAGAGCGCCATGTCCAGTGGATGAGCGAACCGACGCAGACGCAGACTGTATTCTCGGCAATGGAGTGATAAACTGGTTACTGTGTGTCTACTCAGATTCTCCGAAGACCTTGACAATGTGCTTTGCCGCTATACGGCTACACGGGTGCATGTTGAAGATGCTGGAGCGGTAGAAGCAGCTCATAGCCCAGCGTTGGCTGTCATCGCCGGTGGTGGTGGGCTGTGTGCGGTGAGAGTGGGTCCTGCTGTTGAGAATGACAACGTCCAACGGATTGACTGTGATCTTGACGCCGTACTCGGGTATCTCGAGGTACATGGAGCTTCCAAAGTTGAATAGCACCGATGGAGTCTCGTCGCGGGTGTCCCTGTGTGAGCCGGGAGAGAAGGTGGCAAAGAATGCAATCGTTGTGTACCATGGATGAAGCGTGCGGGTGGCCTTGTCAGAGAGGCAGTCTTTGAGCCACTGCAATGGCTGCTGGGCACGACTGGCAAGGTTGGCCTGGAACGAGGGATGGATGTGCGGCCTGATAGCATTGAAGACAAGCCGGGTATGGTCCTTCGCCCACTTGAGCAGCTCGAAAGCTTGTTTGCGGTACTCGCGCGTCTCTTTGGTAAAGTCGAGGCTACCATTGCCAGTCGTATGCCAAATGCCAAGATAGTGCACGCTGGACAGTCGATTTGGGTCCAGTTGAACGCTGGACTGCTTCTTGAGAAAGGCGTCAAGGCACTGCTTTCCTCTCACGGCGCTATTGGCCGTTTGTTGCCTCTTGCGCAGCGATGTAGGAGCCACGCGTTGAAGAATGATTGCACCAGTAGAGGCGTCGTGGAGGGTGAGGTTCTTTTCGGAAGAAGTGGCCGGCAGACGTGGCCTTCCTCTGCGCTTCAGCGTTGGCGATGGTGGTGATGATGGGCATTCCAGGTTGACAGGCAAATTGTTGGCATTGACTTGGGCATCGGCTGTGTCTTGAGACAGGCGGACCAGCAGCAGCTTGCATTGGACGGTGTCCAGAACTTTAGCGGGCGTTTTCGCAGGGTACAGGCGTGGCAAAGGAACGATGTCTTGCAGCTTGCTAGAGCGTTGCTTGGCCCTGCGCTCCCTCTCCTTGGCAGCCCTGTAGGCACGCTGAGCAGCTGCGGCAAGACGCTTCACATCATCGACAGGCCGTGGAAGCGCCGCCAAGGCTGCAGAGGAACGTGCTTTCGATCTTGTCCTCATGGTCGGCGGAGAGCGGTGGCCGAGAGAGCGAGCCTCGATAGCCAGACTTGACAGCGATGGCCAGGTGCACAATGCCTGAGATGCGGAGGGTCGGGATTTGATCAAGTCTTGATTACAATGTCTGGAGAGCGACGACTTTGATGGTGAGCATGATGTGGATCCAAACACGAGGCAAGTTTGGACCTGGCGGTGACTTTGTGGAGCAATAAGGCACGCCTACTTTTCTCCCGGCAACGCCAACTCAAGGCGTGCCTAATTCCCTGATTTTTGGTTGGGGGTCGCGCGACTTCAGGGAATAAGGCACGCTTCAGCCCCCCGCCAACATCCAACTTTGGAAGCGTGGCTTCTGAATCCGCATACGCTGAGCAATTCCTGCCAACCTGGGCAAGTCTTTTGTGAATCCCTGTTGGCAAGAGCCTACGCTTCTTCTGGTCAATGACGTCTTCATTGCCTCCGCAAATGACACAGAAGCAGCGCTTCCCACATTTTCCGGCTCCAGCCATGGAAGCACCTGTCGGCCATGCGCACGCGTTCAGCGCTCACAGAGATTTCGGCCATAGGCGCGCGTCCAGCCCCAGAGGTACCTGGCCTTAATTAGGCACGCTTCTGCTCTTGGTCAGAATCCAACCCCTGAAGCGTGCCTTATCTTCTTGCTCCGCGTTCAAAAATCTGACACAGACTACTAAAGGTGCACGGTGCCTTGATTCGGCGCAACCAGTTTTATCCACCTCCACAAGATTGACTGGGTGTGGAGAAGAGTGCGGAACCAACCGCTTCGATTTCCCGCTTCCCCCTCCTTCGCCCTGCGTACCATCCATCCGCAACCATCTCTGGTACCGCATTGGCATGTCTTTCAATCCACCGGATCTTCACGGTGCTTCTTCTGTAGCGTCTTTTCCGATCAGCGCTGTCAGGTTTGCGGCGGATGAGGCTGATGCTTCCCTTGGAGGCCACTGCCGACTGCATGATGTCCGACCATGCTGCATCTGGACAAGAGTTGCTCACGGTTGAGTACATATACCGACATCCGACCAAGCTACTCGACTTCTTGGCTGCAACTCTTACGGAACAAAACTGCCTACCAGGCTTCGCTCATGATCGCTATTACGACAGATGGCACATTCTCCTCAGGGCAGACGATGGCCGTGTCTTTCGGATCACCTTGGAAGCGATCATGCAGCCTCATGTCCGAAGCGATTCAACCACCCAGCTGCTGGTGGAAAGCATGGCCAGATTCCCCGATGCTTGGCATGCCGAGCCACTCGACCATAACACGTATCTGGCATGTAGCTACATGAACATCAAACATCGCTGCTTCCGTTCCGATGATGGTCACCTACTTGCAGTCCGGCTGGAAGTCGACCGACTACTTCTTGAGCCCGCAAAGCCCAGCCATCTTGAGAAGCCTGTGGCGCAGCTCGCAGTGGCATTGCTTGCTCCTCATCGAGCGACTGCCGGTGTCGAGCAGCCAAGTTCTCGAGAGCTACCCTCGGCACCCCGCCCGGCCAAGTCAGAGCGAGGTGCTCCGGCCAAACCTCACCCTAAAGCGAAGCAGACGTCCTCGCCAGAGCAACAGAGCAGCTCGGAATCGTCGCACAGTCAACAAAGCGAGGTGCGAGCTGAGCCATCTGGCTCGAACCATGGATTCTCAGGCGAGCAGCAAGGTGACGCCCAGCTTGACTCTTTGTCAGCCTCGTCCACAGACTCTCCGCCATCGACTCCACGACAGCCGCGACGACCCCAAAACAAGCCGGCGATCTCATCGGATCAGGATTCCGATAGTCCACAGCATAGCTCCACGCCAAGTCTGCAGTCCGACGCCGTGCCAGCCTCAGCTGCTCATCAATCCTTCGAGCTAAATCCAAGCTCCTCGACATCGCAGCAGTACGACGTGGTGCATGCTCTGCACGAGAATCGTCCCTCAAGCTCAAAGCGAAGCTTCTCGACGTTTCAGAGCTGCGAAACCAGACAGCCTTCATCTTCGACAGAGGAGCTACCCAACTCGAAGCGGAGCGCCCCACAACAACAGCTTCAAGCACCCATCCGCCACTCGAACAGACATTTTGTCATGGAAGATCTTCATCACAGGGTCATCCAGTCGTGTGCGTACGGCTACCAAAGTCAGCACTTCAAGGTCGGTCGTCGTGCTCTTTCCCCCTTCGATATGTGCAGTCTGGGCCGGAAAAGGGTCGTCTCTGGCGACCTTCTCGACGCTTACTTTGACTTGGTCACCAAACACTTTGCCTTGGACCGCATCAAGATTCTCGACTCGGAGTTTGTTAGCCTTCTGGCCGAGATGGACGACGAAGAAGCTGCGCTTCAGCATGGAATAGCCAAGGGAGAACCGGCGGTTGGGGCCAGCATCGCTGATCTCGATCTCATTCTCATGCCGACGCAGATGGGCGATCATTGGACCTCCGTTGCCATCGACGTCAAGCATCAACAGCTTCATCATTTCGATTCCAAGCGCACTCAGCAATCGTCTCAAATGGCGTTCAAGCTTGGCAGAAAACTCCTGCAGGCAGAATTTGCCGTGGAGGAGGTGGATTTCGGGCTCCAGGTGTGGACGGAGCGCGACGATGAGCGCTTCCCTCAGCAGGCAAACACATACGACGGAGGCATCTTTGCGGCCCAGGCAATCAGGCAGCTGTGTCAATCGCATGTATCTTTGCGCAGTCTCACCGAGCAAAGCTGGAACTTCAACCAGGAGGACATCGATGGCCTCCGATGGCACATGTGGCTGGAAGTCACTGCAAGGCAAATCCACCCTCTTCCGGTCTGAGACACCTGTCAAGCCGGGGAGCGTCTGAGCAGTCTATCGTTTGAACACTGAAATGCGCATGCTCAGGGATCGCGGGACGAATCATGGTGAAAGAAAAGAATTCCATTGATAGCATCTGTTCACCGGAGGACGAGAGGGACCGCAACAATGAAGTCGGCAAGTCATGCAGTGTAGGATAAAGACGATACCCTTGTGGGAAGCGCAGCTTCCGGCAAAACCACGCCTGCGTATCGAAGGCAGGATGAGCACTTTTCACGAGGACAAGCCCGACTTGTCTCTGACGCAAGTCCATGCCCGAGAGACTGCAGTGACAATGGAACCGACATCGAGAAGCTCAGCTTCCGTTTTGATATTGGACATTGCAGAAGCCGAATTAGGCACGCCTGAGAGATCAATTTTAGGCCGGCATAAAGCGTGCCTGATTCCTTCACTGCAACGAAGCGTACCCGGCTTTTGCAGGTCGAGGGAAAGCAAGGCGCATGAATTGGCTCCTCGCCCTGAGAAGCCCACCACTTGGCGCCCAAAAAATGGGTGCTAAAGATGCATGCAGGGTCCTGCACGGTTTTCCTCTACCGAGATTCCGCACGTCAATTAGTGCACGGGGACCGCTTCATTGGATGCGCAAGCAGTGGTACGCAGTCGACTCTGTCCGGCCTTCCTCGGTGTGACGAGCTTGGTGCCCAGTGCTCGGAACTCGGGATTCAGGCTCGAGCTCGAGCGCCAGGTCTGTCGTGGTACGGAGATGCGATCGTCAAAGACTTGTGTGAGCTGAGGAGACTGTGTGACTCTAGCAAGTGTACGTGGTTGATTCAGAGCTTCTAATGTTGATGAGGTGCTCGTACAGTAGGAACAGCAAGCATGCCTGTACGCAAGAGGCGACGAAGCTGTGGAATTGAGATGGCGGTTTGGTGTGTGCCAGCGACCATCATTTTTCCCAAACCAGAAGCCCAGCTTCCTTTGCGAGTTGCACACGCGGCAAGACCGAGATTTTAACGGAACATGTTGCTTATTGATGGCCTAACACCAGTGACGTGGTCAAAATATTTTGCAGGCGCGTGTTTCGCTGCTTGGCTGGTTGCACATGTCCTCACTGACGACACTCTGATCCAGCGCAGCACGACGTGCATGGGAAGACTCGAGATTGCGGGACTCGCTGTCCGCCCAATAGAGAGTCTTGCGCAATGCACCGGAACTTGATGCAGGCGATTGTAAAGAACGCGGCTGCCTGGTTGCTGTGTGTCGTTGAGAGAGACGCTCGTGACCTGAAGCCCAGCTTCCCAGACCCAGCCACGCTACCTTTCCTTGCTCGCTTGCTTGGAGGCAAGAATGAGATGCAAAGCTTCTGCAGCGTGCGAGAGCATGTGATGCTCTTTGGCATCGGGAGTCAGTCTGCGCAATCGACCTCATTTCACCGCAGCTCATTAAGGTTCAAGCCAGCGAACAAAGGGATGTGCCCACCTGTGCTGAGCTTTCGAAGGTGCTGCGCTGCGCCGCGAGATGGCTCAGCGTGCCCATTAGCCCAAAGAACTTCCAGCGATCCTGATGACCACCATCATCACACGCGACCGTAGACATACCAACGCCACAAACTCGCTGTTTACCCTTTTCTTTTGACTTTTCTTCCGATCATCATGGCCAAAAGCAAGCTCGCCAGCAAGGCTGGGGCCGACCAGCCCACCACCGAAAGCAAGACGCAGCGGAAGCTCGATCACGAGTCGGCTTTTGCCGCCAAGATGCAGACCGGTCCGGACGAGAGCAGGCTGGACGGCATCGATGAGGACGATCTGTTCCTCGAGTATCAAGAGCCTGACTATGGCTTCATCGCAAAGTCGTGGCCGTTTGGTTTCCTAAGCCAAAACATTGCGCCTTTCTTCGCCAGCGCTTTGACCGAAGGAATCAGAGGTCGGCAAGGAGCCACCTCTCGCGCCCCAAGCATCAGGAAGCGCGAGCTTCCCAAGCGCTTCGGGTTCTTCGAGCACCAGGTCGCACAGGTCATTGCGGCCTTCGACATCGCCTTCATCGCGATGATGGCTCTGCAACTTGCCACGTCCGAGGAGGTTATCCAGTCCAACTTCGTCTGGACTTTTCATCGTCACTTTGTGACGGCTCGCGCAATCCTCAAGAGTCATCCCTTCGTCAAGAGCTGGATGGAACCTCCGACTCACGTCTTCGAAGAGGTTGGTCGATTCATGAAGGAGAACCGCCGTCTGGCGATGAACGAGAGCACCGAGCTTACGGAAGTTGCTGCTGCCATCCAGCACAACGACGTAGACCTGGAACGGCAAGTCAAGAGGCAGCAAGAAGAAGCCGATGACGACAGGCGACGTGCTTCGATCTCCTACTCTGCCCTGATCGAACGGGCCATCGACGTAATGCTCCAGAACTCTTACACCCTTTCGAGAACCAAGTTTCTGGAGGGCAAGAGCATCAAGGATGCGACTCCTCAGGCACAGTGGCAGATCCTCCTCGAGGAGGCCGTCATCGCCGAGGTCGTGGTGGTCAAGATGGGTCGCCGGAAGAAGCGCCAAGCTCGGCAGGCACCGAGCTGGCTTCCTTCCTATGAAGCAGTCTCGAAGCTGCCGGCCAGCGAGAGGGCCGACCTGATCGTAAACCAAGCCAAAGAGCAGATTTCGAGGCTCTTCACGGCAGCCGCTCGCAAGCATCAAGTTAGCAAGGCCAAGAAGCAGGCCGACCCCGTCAACGATGTCGACAACTCCAACAACGCTTCGCAGGTCCTTGTGCCGCGTCACGACGCTCAAGACAGCCCCGAACCTCCGAATGCTCCTGACAATGTTCTCACTGGAGCTAGTTCCGCCGCACACAAAGTCTCGCACTCGTTGACGGCGGCAATCGTCAAACTCCTCCAAGTCCATGCCGATAAGTTCGACACCTGCAACGGTGGAAGGACCTGGCGTGAGGAAGCTACGACGAGCTTGGTGCAAGTTCTCCGAGGTATCGCGCTGCCAAGCGACAAAGACTATGCAGTCGAAGTCAAGCTCATGGCTGCTCAGCAGCTGCCCACCTCGTCGCCTCAGGAGTCGGACCCTCACGGTTTCGAGGAAAGTCCCGAAGGGATCGACTTTGATCTCAACGAAGACGAGTGCCGCCGTCTCCTGTCGTTCTGCATTGCCAACCATGGCTCTGCCAAGACGATCACAATTCCGATCAAGGAACGAGACACGGCACAGTGGGCGAGAATGATGGACAAGTACGAGCCACTGGCCTTGACGGATCTCGGCTTCCGAGAACACCCTCTCAACCGGGCTCTCACGGCGCCACTTGCCGAGCCTTTCCGCTTGGAGCTCAACCAATGGCGAGCTGTCTGCTGGCATGCACGCAAGGTCTTCCATCATGTGGCCGAGACTGCACGTCACGAGGCTCTCGACTCGGGCAGGATTCGTGCCCCGCCGCAAGATTGGTCCGCTGGAGGCATCCTCGCCGATCCGCCGGGCACAGGAAAGACGATCATGGCGATTGCATTTGCACTGTTCAACAAGAAGGTGGGCTTCTTCGATCACGCCACCTTCTTCTTCGTCAGCGCGAGTGTCTCGCAGCAATATGTCAACGAGATTCACCGCTTCGTTGACCGAAATGCCGCCATCACGATCGCAGACTGCACTGCCTCCGAAGGGAGTGAGAAGGTCCTCAAGCAGGAGCTGAAGGCGGACAAGGCTCGGTGGCGTGCCGACTTGTTTGTCCTCACTCCTAGCCGACTCATCCTCACCGGGAAGAAGGCGCGCGATCCGCTTGTCCCGACGCATCAGAGTAACCTGTATGGTACTCTGATCTTTGACGATATCCACCACATGGCGGCCTTCAACACGCAGCTGTTTTCCCGCCAATTTGGCGTCCGTCGAGCATACACGATCGGCGTATCCGCGACACCAATCAGGGATCTGGCGAGCTTCCTCACAGTGCTTGCCTTCTGCGGCAACCCTGGAGCGCTGCTAGGGGACGCTGCGCAGGCGAAGATGATGATGCTGAGCCCCGAGCAGCATCACATCACAAACAAGTGGCTGGTCGATGTCGTGCAGCCCGCAAGTGAGCGGGACCAGCACCTCAAAAACAGCAAGGCCACGCAGGAAAAGATCGAGCTCCTGCTTAGGGATCTGGCTTCCCGAAGCTTGCCCAAGCGGAAGGACTCCCAGAAGGCCGCAATGGCAAAGTACCAGGCTTTGATGCAAGAGGTGTTCGTTCCCTTGCTCAGGGAGACCTCCGATCTCGATCGATACACGGAGCAGGCCAAGCGAGACCATGCCCGATACGCCAAGGCGATCCGCATGTACACCTTACCGCCTGGGGACAAAGCTGCGGGCCCGGCCATCCTGAAGCGAGACAGAGGCATGGACGCCGGCGTCCAGCACAAGGTAAGGACTTTCGTTGTGTTTGCCGACCCTTCTTCCGACGGCCTGGACGCGATCAAGAAGTCCAAGCAGACCTGTGTGCAAGCCCTCGCGCAGCGTATCCTCGACAAGGCGAGCTCGAGGACATCAAGAACGAGCGGATCAAAGACGAGGCTGCAGGCGGAGGAGGAGGCACAGAGAGCATACAACGGGAAGGACAACTTCTCATACGAGGTCTTCCACGGGGCGCTCTCTGCCACCGCCCTTGCTGCCAACAAGGACCTCGATGCCAAGCAGACGGACAAGCTCGTCAAACTGGCAAAGAGCCTCCTCGCAACTGTCCCGTCCACGAAAGCCACGATCATCGCGGATCTCATCGAGTCCATGATCAACTCGTGGCACGGCAAGCACGAATTGGTGGACGAGCGCTTTGCCAGCTGCATCGCCCCTCCACCTGGACCCGACGATGCACCCAACAAGATCGTCGTCTTCCTGCGCCACGCTCAGATCGCTGCGCTCCTCCTCAAGCACCTCCAGCAGCGCAAGATACCCTTCCTCAACATGTTCGGGGGCGACCGCAAGAATCGCCCAGCTGATTCCATCGACAGCTGGGCAGAGTCGAGCATTCCCATCCTCATCATCTCCGAAGCCCTCCAACATGGGCTGAACATGACCTGCGCCAACGTGGTCATATTCGCAGAAGAAAACTACCAGGAGACCGACGACCTCCAAGTCGTCGGTAGGATCGACCGCATCGGTCAGCGGAAGACGTGCTTCGTTATCCATGTCAGGATGCGAGGCTCGTACGACGACCAGAAGAGGTCGCTCGCCCGTCAACGCCACCACAATATGCTCCCCCTCAGCGGGCATAGCAGACTCGGCAGTCTGCTCGAAATCTTCGACACTTCTAATCTGCAAGAAGATCTCGAAGAGGCCAATGAATGGGCGAAGGGTCTATACAGCGACGAACACTTGCCCATGACGGCTTGGAGGAAGGTTGCCGCCCGGCTGTTCGGGGAGGAGTTTGCGGCACAAGCACCATCTGTCGCCGCCGTAGAAGAGCCCGAGACCGAGAGCCACGCCAACTTTTCGCCAGCAGAGGAGGAAGAGGAAGGGGACGAACTTGAGTCTGATGACGAGAGTATCATCCTGGAGGCTGGAACGGTGATCCGCGCAGGAGATATCGAGACGGAAGTAGTCGAGGACGACGCCGC